ATCATCATCTCAAAGAGACCCACAGCAGCCAACTGTGCGCACAACTCATGGCTGACAACGCTATTCTCTCCCTCTACTCTGACAGGCGGAAGCTCCAGGTGTTGGAAGCAGGGAACATCCACGACGACCTTATGATCAACCGCCAGGTCAACGCAAGGTGCACGCTCGCTTGCTTGCCGGTCCGCAGCCTGCAGCCAGAATGGAATGATCACGTGATCGGTTTATCACAAATTTTCCCCGCGATTGACCTTCGCCGAATGTATGCATCATTGTGATTTTACCGAGCATTATGCGAGTTAAACCATTACATGGTGTTATCTGAATATTGTGCTTACATTGCATCGTCTCATGTCCCATGTCGGGCGGAACGTTGTCCCATGTCGGGCGGAACGTTGTCCCATGTCGGACGGCACGTCTGCAGTTCGTGGCACGTTTGCAGCCCGTGAGACGTCTTTGTCGGCTCTGACCGCAGAGAACGGACAGCAATCTTTTTTTTTAAACTGCGTAAAGCTGGCGGATCCACGGTTTGCGCTTGAGAGCGCGTAAGCGTTTGTACATATCCACTGATGGTTTGGATTACACCATTGTCAAGTTTTTGCCTTCCAGAGGATGGCAACTCCGTGGCACTGCGAAATCGTATTGGCGTGATCTTGAACTGAATTTGCGGATTTTCGTTTCCTCGACTTTCTCACAATTCCAAAACTTTACGTCCTTTATCTTAAATAAGTGATGCCATACTGGGATGATGTTGCAACGTTGCAAGAAAAGATCGCCTGTACAAATAACCTGGCTGCAAAGGCATAACAATTTATCCGGCATAGCTTCTGAAGAAACGGCTTCTTGGAGCTCAAAACTGCATGAGCCTGCGGTCAGGGGTTGAAGAAATATCCGCTTCTAGGAAGCGTAATGACTGAGTCGGGCAGGGACTTCTCAGACGAATATTTCATCACAGTTTAAGACCCATTCAGCGCACGGCCCTGCTCGTAAAAACATGCTGCGCCTCCTGTATATTTTGATTTCAAACATGCCCGCTGCGGCGATGCTCCCTGCCCGACAGCAGACAATGCACCCATGTCACCACTGGTCTGCCCATGCTCCCTGACGGTCACCACTAGTCTGCACCGACAGCAGACAGCATGCCCACACTCCCTGACGGTCACCACTAGTCTGCACCGACAGCAGACAGCATGCCCACGCTCCCTGACGGTCAAGACTGGTCTGTACCGACAGCAGACAGCATGCCCACGCTCCCTGACGGTCACCACTGGTCTGCACCGATAGCAGACAGCATGCCCACGCTTCCTGACAGTCACCACTAGTCTGCACCGACAGCAGACAGCATGCCCATGCTCCCCGACGGTCACCACTAGTCTGCACCGATAGCAGACAGCATGTCCATGCTCCCCGACGGTCACCACTGGTCGGCACCGACAGCAGACAGCATGCCCACGCTCCCCGACAGTCACCACTAGTCTGCACCGACAGCAGACAGCATGCCCATGCTCCCTGACGGTCACCAGTGGTCTGTACCGACAGCAGACAGCATGCCCACGCTCCCCTGACGGTCACCACTAGTCTGCACCGATAGCAGACAGCGTGCCCACGCTCCCTGACGGTCACCACTAGTCTGCACCGACAGCGGACAGCATGCCCACGCTCCCCGACGGTCACCACTAGTCTGCACCGACAGCAGACAGCATGCCCACGCTCCCCGACGGTCACCACTAGTCTGCACCGACAGCAGACAGCATGCCCACGCTCCCCGACGGTCACCACTAGTCTGCACCGATAGCAGACAGCATGCCCATGCTCCCCGACGGTCACCACTGGTCGGCACCGACAGCAGACAGCATGCCCACGCTCCCCGACAGTCACCACTAGTCTGCACCGACAGCAGACAGCATGCCCATGCTCCCTGACGGTCACCAGTGGTCTGTACCGACAGCAGACAGCATGCCCACGCTCCCCGACGGTCACCACTAGTCTGCACCGACAGCAGACAGCATGCCCATGCTCCCCGACGGTCACCACTAGTCTGCACCGACAGCAGACAGCATGCCCACGCTCCCTGACGGTTCGCCATGGCCGGTCAGCCTCTGCGATGCCGTGGGCATTTATCCTGGAACGACTCATTTTCTCGCCCCGGGACCAAGCGTTTTCCCGTTGCGTCGTTGATCATTCTTTGATACATTTTTCAGACGTCCATCGGCGGAACAAATTGGTCTCGTTTGTCTCTGCCCGTGACCGGTCCCAGATGATCCAATAGCTGTTCCAGTCGTCCACTGCTGCATATCCCACGGCGCGCAGTCCGTTCAAGGGGACCACGCGTCACACGTTAAATTTTAGGGTCGCTGCTGCAAGTGCATGCACAAAGGCACGCAGTTCGGAGAAAAGCAGGCTGCCGGAGTAAAGCCCGACAGAGGGGTGAGGCCGTTTGCGCAGACGAACAATCTCGTCGCATCGAGCGAGGATCTGGTCCAATTATCTTTCGCGCATTTCCGTCCGCTCGCCGAGATATTGCCATGTCGCTCGTTTGTTTTCGGGTCATCCAAATGGCAAGGTTCGCGTGGTCGCGAGGGACACCCAAGGCCCTCCGCCGAGGGTGGCGGTCGCGCTCGGCCGTACTGGAGCCCCTTGCAGCGGCGTATCGCCGCCAAATATGCAGAGTTCACGCGGCAGTCGCGCACGGCCGAGCCTGGGACAGACTCAGCCGTCAGGTCACCGACGACCTGATCTTATCCGGTATCGTGCCGACCGTCGGCGCGCCGAGCCTGGGACAGACTCAGCCGTCAGGTCACCGACGACCTGATCTTATCCGGTATCGTGCCGACCGTCGGCGCGCCGAGCCTGGGATAGGCTCAGCCGTCAGGTCACCGACGACCCGATCTTATCCGGTATCGTGCTGGCCGTCGGCGCGCGAGCGTGCGGCTCTAGGGCGGTAACTGGGTATGTATGAGACGCGGGTCACACCGGACACCCGCAGGTAACCAAGCAGGATAGCTTCAACACAGGCTCAATGGTTGACCTCGATTTCTGCTCTGTGTATAATATTTCCGTTCCGTGTAACTCTGCGCAGCCATCTGTTATGCTTGATAATAAACCATGTAATGTAAAAAAGCTAATAGGCGCGACCCCCTGGCGAATACGTACCGGATAAGCGGGATTAGATGACTGGCGATGGGCGTGGCGTCGCCGCTCTTAAACTGGCTTATGTCTGTCGTAACTGAACCGTTCATTAAACCGTGATGGCTTTGTTTACCGCATCGGAAAGCCCCAGCCTCGCCATAGGCGCAGTTTGCCGACAAAACTTCGCCAGGACGCTGCCAGGTCACTCAATAAATTGTGCAGAATCCGAGAAAGAACTCCGCTCGGTTCTAGTTTATCGCGTTAAGACCGCGAAAGAGGGCACCCCTGCCGAGTACGGTGCAGCCAGCGGTGCACGCGAACAACCGGCACGCGCGTCTCTGCGGGGCATGGGAAGATGGTGCTCTAATCCCCGGGGCGGACACGCGAACAAGCGGCACGCGCGTCTCCGCGGGGCATGGGAAGATGGTGCTCCAATCCCCGAGGCGGACGCGCGAAACACCGGCACGCGCGTCTCTGCGGGGCGTGGGAAGATGGTGCTCTAATCCCCGGGGCGGACACACGAACAACCGGCACGCGCGTCTCTGGGGGGCTTTCTTTTTGGAGAACGAAGATGGTGCTCTAATCCCCAAGGCGGACACGCGAACAACCGGCACGCGCGTCTCTGCGGGGCGTGGGAACATGGTGCTCTAATCCCCGGGGCGGACAGGGCCGGTATTACGAAACTTCAGACTCGTATCATACATTACCAATTCAAACTTGCCGGCAGGGAACCTAAGTTGTCAAAAAGTGAGATAATTGGGACTTAAGGACAGCGCGTGTGCAACAGTACGAACTGAACGTCATCACCCAGGTAGGGTCGCCGGCGTGACCTTCGTGGCCGCCGAGGTCACCGCCTCTCGGCACGGGTCGCCGCCCAGGGGCCTTGCGGTCGCGAGATCACGCCACTGCCCCGGCTGTCAGGGGACGGCGGCGCAGCTGACGCCGAGGGCCCAGCTAACGACCGACGTTAACGGTGGTGGGAGTGGACGCGCCGGGCTGACGGCGTGTCAGTCCCGACAGCGGCGGCCGGCGGCACAACCGCCGATGGGGGATACAACACCGGCAGCGCCCAGGACAGGGTGACATTAGCACGGTGTACCAAATGTTTGGGATTTGGTGTGGATTGAATTGAAGGTTGATGCGTGTCGTATCTTTTGTAGAAAAGTTGTTACTGAGGATGAGGAAAGTTGCTGAATCCATCTTCGATGCAGTTGCTCAGTTCTCAAATTACTCAGCACTGTTCATTTGTAGACATCTCGATGCACGTTCCTAGTCACGGAATATGCCTGCACGTCACCTCTTGACCAGCTATTTGATGGCCGTTTCACTTGCTCCTAGTGCTTGCTTTATTGCTCAAAGCACTGGTCGCTGTATACCAATACTGCATTCTTCAGCATCGTCTGGTCGTAAGGCCTCGGTGCCGCGGAGTGCGAAGCATTCTCGCCAGTTATCTGGTGAGCACTATACTTGCATGGCATCACCGGGGACTGGTCGCTGTATACAGAGTTGCTCGGTGTCCGCCAGCTCCGGACACTGCACGGCGGCAGTCCCGGCGGCATACCAGCGCGTCTTCACCTCCCGGGTTATGGTTCAACTCGGCGCAGTTATCCCCATTTGACAATCTTATTTCACGCATTATCTCGGCACGTCGGGACGAACAGCGAAAACATCAGGCCTACACCCGGACAAAAAGCGCCGCCGATTTAATCAGAGTCAGCCTGCTTCCCAGCCGGTGACAGATGGGGATGTGGGGCCGGCTCGGCCGACCGCGCCGGATCCGCCAGGCCGCCGGCGGCCCGGCCGCCAGCGGAGCCGTCGCTGGTGCCGGCCGCCGCGGCACCAGTGATGGCGGCGGCCGGCAGCAGTCTGGTCCGTGCGCATCGCTCAGAGCTCGCGCTTCCGCTCGTGGACGTGGCGTGATGGGACCCAGCGCGTCACGCAGCCCCTGACAGTGTGACGAGGCTTTGTGGAGTGCCGGGCGCCTATCCCTGGCCGTAACTCACATCACGAAAAGCTTGACGCATGCGTACTTAGTGTCCGGATGATTTACAGGCGTTGCGCGCACGCCATGACCACTTTCGGCACAGCGGCATTACTTGATTGCATTCCGGCGCGGAAAAAGTGACGAGTGAGCACAGGTAGGCGATCAGAGCTCGCGCTACCTTCGTCTGGCTTGGACGTATGGTTGTGTCCGAGGCTCCGTGCGCACGAAACCCAGTGCAAAACCATCGGTGCCAACCATTGACCTAGAATACACTCAAAATTGGTCAGAGGAATATCCCTCTCGCCCACACTCAGTTCATCGAACCAGCCCGGGCCGACTCACTCAGTCATCGTCAGTCAGTTATGTCAACCCCACACGCCTCCGACGTTTCCGGTGAGATCCGGCCCCGATGCCCACGCACACGTCTGACAAACGGCGCACCGCTTCATCCGAGGCGCGCGGCCCGCCCGGCCCACCGCCGCGAGTCGGCCGGGCTCCGCCGGCTGTCACGGCCGATTTAACGACGACGTCCGGTCGCCGGGGTCGTCAGACGGGACACAGTACGGACGCCGCTTTATTACTTGCATCGGCGGCCGCGCCACCGTCTCGACCGGCCGGACCCGGAGCGGCGGGGCGGCCGAATCCGCCTGCGGTCCGGGCCCGCCGGCGGCCGCCGGAGCGCGTCCGCAGCCTGGCCCGCTTCCGGCGGGACGAGACGGGCCCGAACGCGGCTCAGGGCCGGCCGGCGCGGGGCACACAGCTTCCGCGCGCCGACGACGCCGCCGCCAAGCGACACAGCCCCAAGCGACAAGGCGCGGCCGAGGCGGGTACACCGATGGGCTCCGCTCGCACGCTCACACATCACAGCACGCGCCGGCGCGCCGCCACCTCACACGAAGCGGCCTCCTCACGTCCAATAATGTACAATCGCGCAGGCAAAGTGGCACAATGACCCATGAGATGGCGTGTTTCGCTGCTATTTACACAGTGGCATGGGGAGGGTAAATATTTCACAACTGGCGCCCGTCAGAGCTTTCTCACACGCGCAGACACTGAGAGCTGGCGCCCGCTTCGCTACGCGGCGCCAGTGGGACCGGCGTCCGCCGGCCACCGCGAGTTTGTACAGAAGCGGGTTCAGTTTCGGCGCCGGCGCGGGTCCACGTCATGTGATGGAGGGCCACCGTGGGGGCCCGGCGCGAACGGGGGGCCACCGCGAGGACCCGGGGGGCCACCACGAGGTCCGGAGAGACCGCCATAAGGACCGCGGGGCCCCGGAGGACCGCCGTGGGGTCCCTGCATGCCGGGAGGTCCGTGTGGGCCAGGTGGTCTCTGCATGCCGGGTGGCCCTTGCATGCCGGGCGGTCCGCGCGGTCCGGGCGGTCCACGCGGTCCGGGAGGTCCGCGCGGCCCGGGCGGTCCACCGTACGGGCCGGGACCGCGGGGGCCCGGAGGTCCGCCGTACGGCCCCATGGGGCGGCTCTGGGGCGGCCCTGGCGGGAACTGCGGTCGCTCCCAGCCCGGCGGCGGCCGGCCGTCGAACGGCGGGAACGGACCTGGACGTGGGCCTGGGCCTCGCATCGCGGCACGCGGCGCGGGCGGCGGCCCCGGTGGCGGCTGGCCGAATGGAGGCCGCGACGGCCCCGCCGACGACGCCGGAGGCGGCACCAGCGGGTTGAATGTCGACAGCTCAGCCTGCGCCTTGGCAATCAGGTCCGAGTCGGTCAGCGACGCCAGGTTGCCCTTGCTGCGAGCGCTGCGCGGGTCTGACGGCCGCGCCGGCGGCTCCGGCTTCGGCTTTGGCTCGGGCTCGGGCTCCGGCTCCCGCTCCGGTTTGGACCGTGCCTCCTCACCCGGCCTCGGCTGCGGCGGCGGCTGGGCCGCGGCCACCTCGTCGGTGTCGCGACGGCGCGGCCGCTCGGCCTCGGGCGTGGTCGGCGAGCGCGGCTCGTCCTCCTCCTCCTGCGAGCCGTACGTGTCGATGATGGGGTCGCGCATCCTGCTAAGCTCCTCGGTGCGGCTGCGCAGCGAGTCCATGAGATCGGGCGGGTCGGCCGGGTCGTACGGCGCCTCGCCGTCGTCCAGCCTGCTCGCCATCGTCTCCAGCTGGCAGCGCTGCTCGTCGATGCGCCGGTTGAGCTCGGCCAGCAGCCGCTCGGCCTGCTCGGCCGGCCGCTCCTCCAGCGGCGGCGTGGCCGCGCCCGGGTCGTACGGCTCGTCGCCGTCGTCCTCCAGCGCCTGCTCGGGGTCGTACGGCTCGTCCTCGAGCGGCGGCGTGCTCTGCTCCGGATCGTACGGCTCCGGCTCGTCCGGGCCCGGGGGCCGCTCCACACGCAGGAAGGCCGGCGCGCTGGCCACACCGGCCGGCGCCGCCGCGTCGTCGCCCAGGCCCGGGATCACATCTCCAGGCGGCGCCGGCTCCGGCTCCGACTCCGACTCCTCTGCGGGCTCCAGCTCCAATCCTTCCCCGGGCTCGGGCTCGGCGCCGGGCGGCGGGGGCTCGGCGGCCTGCTGGTAGAAATTGAAGGTGGGCGGCCGCAGCTGATTAAGCTCCTCGGGCGAGACGGGAGCGCTCACGTCGCGCACGTAGTGGCCCGGCTGATAGGCGCTGAGCTCCGGCTGGTAGCCGATCGTCAGCGGCTTGGCCGGCCCGTCTGCGGAGGAAACAGCGCGACGGTCAGCGGCGGCACGCACTCTACACCTCCCCCCGTCCCCCTTCTCTACATACACAGGCTGCCTGCACAGCTCATCCAGACAACCAGCCACGCAGCAGCAGCCGCAGCTCGCGCCGCGGCATCACCGCCCGATCTGCACGACCCCTAACCGCTCGAGCCCCGGCAGCGGTGCCGCCGGCCGGCTGGTGGCCGCCCGCCGCCAGCACGTCTAGCGGTGCCGCTCGTCGCGATGTCCCGCGTTCGGCTCGGCGCTCCGGAGGGTGACCGGAGCGGCGCCATTCCGTGGCCGCTAGACGTCTAGTTCGTTCCCGCCGAGTCGAGCACGAGACCTGATCGGTCGAGCTCCGGCGGCTTCGATTGCCAGTGAGGCCGACTGATTGGGGCCGGATGTGGTGGCCGAGTGTGGCGCGCTTACCGCACCAGGACTGGGGGTCTCATGGTGTTGGCTGGCACGGCGTCCGGCGCCCGGTGAAGCGCCTACAGCGGCGGGGAGTGCGCTCGGTCTCGGCTCCGCCGGCCCCACAACACCTCCTCGCGGACCGTGCCGGTCCCCACGGCTCTGCTCCCAGTCCCAGCCGGCCGCCAGGCCACCAGACAGCGCCCACGCCACCCGCCAGTCCCGGTGCCCAGCCGCGCCCCGCCGGCGACCAACACTCACAGTCCTCGACAGCAACCGGCTCGGGCGAGGCGGCGCGCGTCTGCTTCTCGCCGCCGCTGCGGTGAGATGACTCGTGCTTCCGCTTGCGGGAGGACGAGGCGTACAAGATGAGGCCGAGCAGCATGTGCTGGCGCAGCTCGTCCAGACCTGGAGGCGGCCGGCGCCGGTCAGGCGCGTACAGCAGCGGTGCACGCGTGGCGTCGGAGACGGGGATGTGCACAAGCGTCGGACGGCGGGGCCACACGGTAAACAAACTGAGCCGTGTACACAGAGCAGAGCACACAACTGTAGTGTACACGCCATGCACGTGCGGTAACATACGGTAACAACACATTAGTTCTCAAGACAGTACAAAGCGAATACCATGAGAGAACTGCGTCACCAAACACCGTACGCAAACAGCTGGCAAGTAAAACAAACCACTCGAATAACCAAAAGGTCCACAACGCGCACCTCAACAGCGAATATCACACGCTCGCGTCGCATTCAGACCCAGGGGGCCCGCGCCGCTGCGGCGGCGGCGGCGGCGGCTCAGACGGGTGGCGGCGGTACCTGGGCCGGCGAAGGGCAGCAGCGCCGGCGGCACCGGGTCCGTGCTGGCCAGCGGCAAGATGTAGAAATCCTTGATGGCCTTGGAAAAGCCGCCCACCACGCCCAGCCGGTGCTTTTTGGAGAGGTACGTGTAGAGCGAGGCGTAGTGCAGCTTCTCCTCATCGGTGGCCGGCTGCAGCCGCACCACCACCACCTCCTGTCGGCAGAGGGCGAGCCGTTGCTGCCTGGGAGCTGCAGGGCGGCGCCGCGGCCGGCTACTTGCCGCGCCAGCTGTGGTGCGGACGGGCGGCCGCTCGCAGGCGCCGCGCCAGCCGTCCGTAATCGCCAGCGCCGACAGCAGAGTGACGTGGCAGGACGCCCGGGCGCCGGCCTGTAACTTCCCCGGGTCAGCGAGCTCAAAAGTGATGCCTTCACGGCCCGCTGGCTAGTCGCCATTCCAGCGACAGTTCGCAGCTTGTTTTACAACCGTCACGCGATATCCAGTACGTGTTTTCCAGACAATGTGTGCGTCCAGTATGTCAAGTGACCACAACAGAATTCGGCCACGCAATCATGTCATTATAGTACGATAATCACACCTCGGTCAGCACGATCAACGCATGTGTTATCACACCAGACGGCCGTCAGCGCGCCACTAATGACTGCTTTCTGCCCCCGTCGGCAACGGATCTCGCCGAGCCATTTCCCGCCGATAATCCAATATCCAATGCATCACGTGCGGGAGCAGCGAGATGCAATACGCTGCAGACGCCGGCGGCGCGGCTCCGGGGAGCGGATCGACCACTGGAGCCACCCGAGCCAGCCGAGGAGCAGCCCGAGCCGGCCGAGGAGCCAGCAGACCCGGATGAGGAGCCACTCGGGCCGGCCGAGGAGCCACCCGAGCCGGCCTGGGAGCCAACCGAGCCGGCCTGAGGACCCACCCGAGCTGGCCGAGGAGCAACCCGAACCGGTCTGGGAAGCTACCCGAGCCGGACTGAGGAGCCACCCGAGCCGGCCGAGGAGCCACCCGAGCCGGCCTCAGGAGCCACCCGAACCGGCCGAGGAGCCGCCCGGGCCGGCCAACTCCAGATCTCCGCGTCACCTTCCACCGAATTTAGACAACCGGTTACGCGTTGTTCTCATCACTACGGGAAGTCGGTGTCCTACGACCGGCACGCGGGCGAAAACAACAAAGGCGACGTCCAAACGCAACAATGCGGCATTCCGACGGGCCTAACACAGCCTGGCGGGCCCGACCGAACGACTCACACTCCACCCGGGCTGAAATGTAGCGGCTGCCGAGCCGGCGGCGGCCGGCGCTCTGCGCTGTCGAGCCTGCCGCACGCGTCACTCATAGCTGCCCACACCGCGGAGGCCGGTGCCCAGAGCTGCCCACCCCGCGGAGGCCGGTGCCTAGAGCCGTCCAACCCATGGAGGCCGGCGTCCAGAACGCGGCCGTCTAACGAGCGCCCATCGTCGGCGGCGGACGCGATTGTTCGCGTGACTAGGCGCGTTGGGACGGGCGGCGCGCGTGCCGCGCCACATCAGTCGCCGGGCCCGCTGTGCCGGCCACAATCAACAAGCGCGCCGCTGCTCGTTCGGAGCGCGCGCGACCCGTCAGCGCACGGCCCCTGCCCGAAAGGCGGCAGCCGCTGCCGGGCCGCCGCGCGCCGGTCACAGCGCGCCGCGCCGGCCGCCTCGCCGCCACTCGGCCCGTGATGGACGCCGCGCAGCCGATCGCCGCCCGCCCGGCAATGTCGAGCGCAGGCCAGTCGGCGCGTCGGCCGTGACGGACGGGAACGAGGCCAGTGTTGAGGGGCGCACGCCGGTGCCGGTCCCGATCGCGCCCCGGCCGGCCGGCCGATCCGTTACGTCGCTGACGCGGCGTTCTGCGTCCGGCGGCGCCGGCTGACCGATGGCGACCGGTGACGCCGGCGGCGGCAGCTCGGGGACGACTGTCGCCGGGGTCACGCTGCCTCATCAGGCGCCAGCAGATGGCGCGCGCGCGCTGGCATAGGTGCGAGGACCACACGCGACCGGGCGGCACCGGCGGGGAGGGTGCGCCGAGGGTCCAACCACACACGACGCCCATTCTGAGCCATGACTGGTCCAAGGCTTGGACCAGTCGCCGTGGCGATGACTGACACAGTTAAGCCGAACTTGCCCTTGCGAGAGCGAGGACCGATGCGAGCCAGGCGCGCGCCGGCGGCGTTTTTCTGGTGCACCCTCTGGCCGACCTCACGATCACGGAGATAGCGGGGCCGACCTCACAATCACCGTCGTCCGCGTTATGACCGCATAAAACGCTGGCGTCGGCGTGTGAAGTTCACGGCTCGGCGCCGTCCCGCGGGCGCCCGACGAAGCGCTGGACCCCGTGGCCCCGTCGGGGCCGCCGCCACTCCACTCCGCCGGTGCCGCGGGCACGCCGCACCTGTCGGACCGGAGCGAGCCGCCGGCATTGATCTGACCCCGGAGGCGGCCCAGACATGCCCCGGTCGCCGGCGCCGCCAGACGGCTCGACAGCGACCGACGGCTGGCCGTATTTCACCCCGACTGCGCCGGCGGCCCAGCCGAGCGCGCCGACCCGCCGTCACCTCTCCGGACTGTTTAATGCCGATTTGCCGTCAATCTGCCCGACTGGCGTCCGACTCGGCGGCCGCCGGGCCCGCGCCGGGTCAACGGAGGCGGGCGGCGCCGCCGACTCGGCCCAGTCGCCCGGCTTCGGGCCGCCGACCCCGGGCCGGCCGGCCGGCCTCGGGCCGCGTCCATGTCAGGACGACCTGACGCGCTCAGGATAGCCTGATCACCTGGCTACGATGGCACGCCGGCGTAAATATTCACAAATGAGCGATGCAACGCTTTTACAACTTATTAAGTGCATTTATCTGATTTTCCGCTCGCAACCTATGGCGTAGGGAGGCGGTCGCCCCGCCAAAACCAGCTGTAGTCCCGTCATCGGCCGACCGTTCATCATACGCATACGCATACGCATACGCACACGCACACGCGCATACACGCGCGCACACACACGCACGCACGCACGCATACACCACGCACGCATACAAGCACGCCTACGCCCACGCACACACCCACACGCACGCACACACACACACGCACGTGTGCATGCGTGCATGCACGCACGCACGCATGCTCACACGCACACCCACACACACGTCCAGGAATGTGCGCCTGGGTCCTGGCCGGGGCGGACTCGTCCGCTGCCTGTGCTCTCGGTCCGTGTTGGTGTCGACCGCCCGCCTCCCAGTGCGAGAGACGGAAGATCCACCGTACTAAGCTGGCCACGACTGATTCGATTCGATCCATCACGGCTCATCGCATTAGGTGTGAGCAGCCTCCGGTGCACGGCACTGGGTTCGGCAAGGCATTAGGGTCATGGGGCTCCCGTTCGTGGAAAGTATCAGAGGGCTCACTTGGCCGCACTGATGAAAACCCAGCCACAACGCTAACAGAGAGCGACTAGAACAGGATGAAAGACATAACTCCTTCCATTCAACGCCGACCAGTTGCTGCCAAGGGCCGTCGACGTTGGCAAATAGCACAGGCAAATGAATCACACCTCACTTTATATAACCCCCGCCCGCGGATATCACGGATCTGCAGGCATCAATGCTCCTGGCTATACGCAAGCAGACTTAATGCTTCCATCGAACGCAAAACTCAGTCAAACGGACAGATTATTGGGCCATTCCATACAACTGAAATCAGTCGAGCATACAACACCCTCACTTTTCGCCAAAAACCCGTCTGCAGGGTACTAATTAGCTCTGATCGGATTCCATGCGTCACAGCACGGTCTCGTTATTGTGCAATAAACGGCGGCTAGCTCAATCATCAAGGTAAAGTCATCAAGGTAACATTATTGGTCTTCTGTCCGGCGTATTGGTGACACAGAATCAGAGGAGTATTCAACTAGTGGTTTCCGGGGAACGTGACCCCCCCCCCCCCCCCCCTCCTTCTCATCATGCTACTATTACATGTATTACTTTATACGTGAATCCATATTGATGGAATTCGAGATGGACACTTAAACTACACAGACCAGAAGTACGCGATGCCACACAAGACAATTCACGCATTTACAAATTATCATGCACACACCACATAGCCAGAACGTTATGAAAGGAAGCACTCTACCGCGCATGACCGGTTGAGAGCACGGCTGTTGCTTTATCCCTCGGCCGTGAAGCCACAGGTGATGACCACTGCTGCCACGGGCCGGTCGGTGTAGAGGCTGACGACCGGCCGGTCAGCAAACGCTTCCATCATAACCTAGATGGCTGGACGTGGGCGGTCGCCCGTTCTTAGGGTATGCCACAACTCTGGATGCAGTCAGGTGTCACCGTGACCTGCTGGCTAGGGCGAGGCCACAACTAGCTGCGCTTCAAGGAGCCGGCCACCATCACCATCAGCGACGTGTCGGCGGCACCATCACGGCGCGACGCCACAGCTCAACGCCACCGTTATTTATTCCGCTGAATGGCAGCTTGTCATATTGCCTCCACGATTGTTGTGTTGCCCTTGTGGACAAAGCCGAGTATGCGAAGGTGGGGAGGGCTTACACGCGTCTGGTACGTGGCGCAGGGATACGTCGCATTAGTTGGCACCAATGGCCTCAGTGCTGCGCGCCTTGATGGCTCCCACAAGCCAGGCTCTCCGTGCGGAACTCACGGCTGTGATCTGGTCAGACACACCAGCGACCTTCTGAAACGCAGTCCAACGTGTCATTGCGGGTCTCCCACGCGCACGTTACCTGATGGCACCGCTCCCACAGTGGGATGGGGCGGCGCAGCTACAGGCTTCGGGCCAGTGAGTACGCGCGCAGAAACGGTGTTTTGGAGGTGTGTGCCTACATAACACACAAGGCGTGGCTGCGTTAATCTTGAATGCCACCAATGGCATCTTCATGCCTCGTAAGCGCCTGAAATGTCTAGCTCACTCGCATTACACTCGTTAATGCATACATTTGCGTGTTACAATTCATGACCACATAAAAAATAAAGGGCCATCGTTCCAACAGTAGAAAACTACGACGGCTTCAATTTGGGTTCCAAGATACCCAATTTTAATACAGCAAATGAGGCATACGACTCGGAAATACTATACTTTGATTCCGCTCTCAAGTTGTCATTAATGGACACAGCATGCGTCGGTGAAAGCAGCTTTCTGATGGTAGGTATGCCGCTTTAAAATTGCGCACTCGAATGTACCGCGCGCATCTTTTTGCGCTTTTTCCCGCACCTTGTGTTCAGAGCAATACTTAAACCCTGCAGCTAATCAATATGGCATCTACAATTAGACAGGACCCATGTAAACCCTCCCACCATCAGATACAACTTTTACAATAAAGCTGACGACGCCTTTGAAACGGCCAACAACGACGCATCGCGAACGCTCTTCCCGCATGAACTCTCGCAGGAACGCTAGAGCAGCTTGTCCGCACGGTGAAGTTTTGACGGCGGGACAAATTAGAGCTCGGTACCGCGGGCGCCATTCGCCGACATACCGCTTCAGTCGGCGGCCGTGCCAGCATATCATCGTCCAAGGGTGACAACGGCGAAACACGATCAAGGGAAGCGTTTCCAGCTAATGTTTGGTTCCATATACGCCCATCTCTGTAGCGACGGCTGACCCGCGCGAAAGCGTAGTGTGAAACTGTCGAGGGAACACAAGCAGGTTCACAAACTCCATGCGCTTGGACGGAAACGTAATGCTATTTCGTCGAAATCTAGGGGAGTTACTGTGCACCGATTTACAGTGGCCACATGAAGATTCGAATAAAAGACCCAAAAAAAGTCGCCGTAGATACTCGCTGGCATCGCGCAGCTGCATTTCAGACGTCGAGCAATAATGGCTTCCGGATCTAGCGTGGATCACGCGGTCGTAGATGATGCCATTTTCCGTACACTCCATGGATTCCATACCGTTATGGTACTGGGAACTTCCGATCCCATATACGGCACATGCAATATTGCGTGTACACATACAACACTTTTATCTAGCATGTGTTAATTGTCGACTTACGATATTTGAGCTAGTAACATAAAACCACCGTGTTCAGATAAAACCAGCACCTATAAATGCATCGAAGGTCATACCGTATTGCACGCCTTAAGCACAGGTGACCACCCACGTCTAGCCATCCAGCTTATAATGGAACCGTTGGCTGACTGGCCGCCCATCAGCCTCTACACCGATTGGCCCGTGGCAGCGGTGGTCATCACCTGTGGCTTCACGGTCGAGGAGAAACACCCAGCAATACCTTCAACTTGGCCTTTAAGGACGTTATGGGAAAGCTGTTAGAAAAAATCATGGATACCCGTCTTTCAGACCGGAAGTTCAGAGGCCAAAACTAAACAAACACTGACCAATCCTACTTCAAGCCGATCTACATTTGCAAAACGTGCTTTGCCCCGACTCGGCAATGGCACGTTTGGAAAAGATTACACACTTCCTTACCCCGATAAAATGTCAGGCAGTGAAAGAGCCTCATGACCTAATCTCGACATCTGACCTTTGTTGTTTATTGGGGCTTCAGGGCACGCCGACTGCTGAGGTCATATTGCGCCCATAACCTTCACACTGGGCCCGGCCATCGCTCGTCCACCAGAGGCCAGATCGCGCTAAAACTTGCAGAATCCGACCGTCGGCTCTTACATTTCTCATAGACCAGCTCCAGGCGAAATCCAAGGATGTGTCGTATATCGGCACACCCCTGAAGGGTGTGCCGTATAACGATACAGCTCTAAAAGGCGTGCAGTATAACGTTACACCTCTAAAGGGTGCGCCGTATAACGGTACATCCCTAAAGGGTGTGCCGTATAGCGATACGCCCCTAAAGGGTGTGCCGTATAACGATACACCTCTAAAGGGTGTGCCGCATAACGGTACACCCCTAAGGGGTGTGCCGTACAGCGATACGCCCCTAAAGGGTGTGCCGTATAACGATACACCTCTAAAGGGTGTGCCGTATAACGGGACACCCTTATAGGGTGTGCCGTATAACGCTACACCCCTAAAGGGTCTCGTCGGCATGCAATAACCTCAAGCCGAAGACGCTGACGTTAGGTTCCACGCGCCGCCCTCTAAAAAGCTTTGAGACGGTACGGAGTGCATCCATAGGTCAAGCGGGAACCGAAGACGCCAGACGCGACACAGCGGTGCTGGCAACACCGCGCCCCGGCAAATCCCGGCTGAATTGATCTCGACATGGCAGATAGGACGTGCAGTCGTAACCAGGTCACAGAAGAGCAAACGGCTGTCGCCGGATGCCAACAAAACAAGTATCGTCGCCACCTGGGTACGGCTGGGCGGAGGTTCAGCCGGCAGTTGTGACCGGATCTCGGCGGAGACAAACGGCGGTCGTGCCACTGCCCGACGCAGCGGAAGAGTAGCCCGTCCCCAAATGACGACAAAGCGTAGGTGCAGCTGTTAGCGCAGCCGGATCTCCACAGCGCGGTGGTGCAGTCGCCCAAAGCTTTCAAAAGGCCGGAGACACAATCGTTCGAATGCCAAAACTTCATAATGCGGTGCTTTACATTCTACAAAACGGGCAACAACGCACAACGAAAACAGCAGATACGGTCGTCCAGACAAGACAAAGGTGCAGCCGTCCCAAACCCCAACAGCTCAATAACACTTCCGAACGCACTAACGCCTGTCGTCAACCTGCGCCCGCGGCCCGGGAATGGCGTCCGGCTCCAATCCCGCCGGCGCACAAGCACAGCAATCAGCCGGCCTCCCGGGCCCGCGGTGCCGGCCTGCCCCCGAGGCCGGGCGGCGCGGCGGGTCCGCCGGGAGCCCGGCCCGCCGGTGCCGCCCGTCGGCACAGTTCGGCGCCGGCCGCGGCCCCTTTATGACGAAATCAGCTTCGATTCAGGCGGCGACAGCCGCGCCGCCCGAGATGACGCGATTCAGCGCCCGGCTTACGAGCGGCGCCGGCCGGCCGTTTTTGCATGGGCGGCCGGCGGCGGTCAAGCCGTTCGATCGGAGAGCGGCGCGGCCGCCGCACCGGGGTCGGCGCCCGCCCACTCGCCCCGGCCCGTCTCAGGGCTGACAGACGGTGAGTGCGGCCCGCTGTCCCTCCCTGGAGACACCGGCCGGTGGAGGCCGGCCCTCCGTCAACCGGGGAGGGGAGGGGCCGGCGCCGGCCGCGCCCCCTCGCTAACGACGCGAGGAGAGCTCCCATTTATTCCGGAAAACTTTTATCCCGTGACGCGCGTGCTTAACAACTCTTAATTTCGCTGAGAAACATAATTTAACTCGGGGAGAGAGATCAATTCTTCTTCAGTCATCGGCTGCGAAGTTCTAACATCAGCGGTCGGGAAAAAAATACGGGTGCTTCTGCCGGAACACTTTGTCAGCAGGTGAAACTCCAGACGAAAGCTGGCGACTTCAGGCGCGGCTATCACAGGTTACCTTCTGGACTTAAGATCAGCCCACGGCAGGCCGCTGCAGGGGCACTCACCAACACCCCACATGTCAGTGTTCTCAGGACAGTCAGCACGCCAGGCAGCAAAGGATGTCAAATGCCGCGTGGAGTGCCTCAGGAAAATTTGTGGTGAGCGGGGCGGGGTCTGTCACCAGGGTGGGACGCGGCCGGCCACCGCCTGCCCCTCCTCCCGGGACACCACGCGAGTGACGCAGCGGAGCCGCCGCCGTCGCTCGTGCCCACGGAGACGCCGCGGCCCGCGCCGCCCCGTCCGCCGCGGCGCAGCAGGACGGCGACACGTGATCAGGAGCCAGCCGGTCACGCCCCGCCCCAGTTCGAAGCCGCTCTCAGCGAACAACACCGGAATCGGATCATTCCGTATGCATGGGCCCGGCCGGCGGCCTCACATGCCTAGCGGCGGTGGGAGACGGGGGAGGGAGCCGGCGGTCTCACATGCCTAGCGACGGTGGGAGACGGGCGAGGGAGCCGGCTGCCTCACGTGCCTAGCGACGGTGGAAGACGGGCGAGGGAGCCGGCGGCCTCACGTGCCTAGCGACGGTGGGAGACGGGGGAGGGAGCCGGCGGCCTCACATGCCTAGCGACGGTAGGAGACGGGGGAGGGAGCCGGCGGTCTCACATGCCTAGCGACGGTGGGAGACGGGCGAGGGAGCCGGCGGCCTCACGTGCCTAGTGACGGTGGAAGACGGGCGAGGGAGCCGGCGGCCTCACGTGCCTGGCGACGGTGGGAGACGGGGGAGGGAGCCGGCGGCCTCACGTGCCTAGCGACGGTAGGAGACGGGGGAGGGAGCCGGCGGTCTCACATGCCTAGCGACGGTAGGAGACGGGGGAGGGAGCCGGCGGTCTCACATGTCTAGCGACGGTAGAAGACGGGGGAGGGAGCCGGCGGTCTCACATGTCTAGCGACGGTAGGAGACGGGGGAGGGAGTCGGCGGTCTCACATACCCGGCGCCGGTGGGAGACGGGCGAGGGAGCCGGCGTCCCCACCACCCTGGCTCCGCCGGCCGAGGCGCACAGGCAGCGTGACCGGACGCGTGGGTTCACTTGACGACCACTACACCGGCCTCGTAAACGTCTTTATATCGTACGTCGCGCCATGAAGGGGTTTACCGCTGACTCACACCAGGGGCACGGTCATTTCACCACTGCCACAGGCGAATCTTTCCGCCCTCCCGTTCCCTCCCGTGAATCTCATCTGCGGAGCATTCCTCACCAGATCGGCAGTGTGCATCCAGCGCCAACCCTTACGCGCGCCCGGTGCTGCCATCTCCCTTGGCGCGTCAGCTCACCTTGTTGGACTTGCGGACCTGTTTGATGTAACCCCAGATGGTGTCCGGAGCGATGCGTCCCACCACCTCCACTCGGTCAGGGATGTCCGTGGCCAGGTGAGTCGAATTCCCCGACACCTGAGGAAGGGGCGGCAGTCAGCAGTCAGCAGTCAGCAGTCAGCAGTCAGCAGTCAGAGGGCAGCAGGCAGCAGCGCTCAGCCGGCGGACGGCATCAGCACCGTCGGGGCCATTATCGGCGGCATCGGGACCATCAGCAAAGCCTTACCGGCCAGGAGGTGAGGAGGCACCAGCAGAGCGGGCGGGTCCCGGACGGGATAATATGGCGTCCGCGCCGCCGCCACGGACACGGACAGGACCGTCGCTCGGCCTGGGTCGCTGTTCATCGCGGTCATGTGGCCTCGACTCACACAGAGCCACACAGCCCACAGGTGACACACAGCTCGCGCACAGGTCCCACCGCCGGGCGCATGTTGGGTATCACCCGAAGGTCCCACACGGGCATGTGCATCCCGGACACGCCCTGTGGAGCGGGCAATAGTCACAAGCGACCGTGGTCGCTGAACCTCGCCGCGGCCACCGGCGGCCCCCCGGAGCCGACGCCGCAGACGGGGCAGGGGCGGGGTGGGCCGGCTCAGGTGGCGCCAGCATGTGCGGCCCGCTCCCCGGGGACGAGCTGAGGCAAGCCGCCTCACCGGCCGCGACGTCCGGCCACCAGCGGCACTGGCCGGCTCCCGGCCGACACCGGCCGGCCGGGTGCGGCCCGTCAGCACGGTCAGGGGTCGACAGGCCACGTCACAGCGCGAGACAGCGGACGGTGGAGCTGACGAGAGTCCACAAGTGAGTGACGGGTGATCGCATTCTGCCAGGCGGACGAGTCGCACCGCACACTTGTGAGAAGCTGAGTACAATCGACAGTGCTGGCGGGGCCGTGAGAAGCTGAGCACAATCCACAGTGCTGGCGGGACCGCAGCATTAGCAGAAGGTCGCGGTGCCGCTTCATCTTTTAACGGCCACCAGCTGACCACGTCGACTGCAGAATACTCGTCGCATCTTGCGCACATTAGGCCGCTGTAAGCTCAACAGCTAACCGGAAAAGGATTTTTGCTCCGAGAGAGAGAGCGAGGGCGAGCGAGAGAGACAGAGACAGAGACAGAGACAGAGACAGAGACAGAGACAGAGACAGAGACAGAGACAGAGACAGAGACAGAGACAGAGACAGAGGACAGACGAGACAGAGACAGAGACAGAGACAGAGACAGAGACAGAGACAGAGACAGAGACAGAGACAGAGACAGAGACAGAGACAGAGACAGAGACAGAGACAGAGACAGAGACAGAGACAGAGACAGAGACAGAGACAGAGACGAGACAGAGACAGAGACAGAGACAGAGACAGAGACCATAGACAGAGACAGAGACAGAGACAGAGACAGAGACAGAGACAGAGACAGAGACAGAGACAGAGACAGAGACAGAGACAGAGACAGAGAACAGAGACAGAGACAGAGACGAGGAGAGAGAGAGAAGAGAGAGAGAGAGAGAGAGAGAGAGAGAGAGAGAGAGAGAAGAGAGAGAGAGGAGAGAGAGAGAGAGAGAGAGAGAGAGAGAGAGAGAGAGAGAGAGAGAGAGAGAGAGAGAGAGAGAAGAGAGAGAGAGAGATAGAGAGAGAGAGAGAGAGAGAGAGAGAGAGAGAGAGAGAGAGAGCGACATTTACACATCAAAGAGCACCATCTCCCGGAAACTGGAAAGTTGAGAGCATGGACCCACTCCAGCTAATCGGGTTGAATGCGGGATTTGCATAATCGTCAGTTCATTCACTGCAAGCCTTTGCAAGAAGTGCAGCGCGTAATCGAGGCTCGCTTTCTCGGCAGTCCCGGGATGCCTTTGCTCTTGCCAATTCCTAAATGCAGTGTTCCACCTTCTGGGTATATTTCAAAAACATACTCTTGTAAAACTCAGGACTAGCTATGTCCTATAATAGCACTGGGTAATGCTACTGTAGCACCGTCCAGGCATAAATAAATAAGTAAATAAGTCTAAATTACGTTGTCAACGCTTTGTTACAGCACTACGCTTCTTCCCAGCAGTTGTCATGATTGCCGTCGTCATGAGAACCGCCGTGGCACCTCTATTCTACTGGTGTGAATAAGAGAACGCTTGTGATTAGCCCAGCGGGCGGCAAGGGCCTGTTACTGAGAAGCGGTCTGGGCTAAGTTTGAACCAGCGCGTCGCACGGATCACGTGATAGCACCATTCCCAAAGTCAAAGTGCGCCTCGGAAAGAGTCGCTGTGGCAAACGTCAGAGGGGAGAAATCAAAGCCAGCCGAAGCACAACGTCTCGTTGGATTCGCGGGATAATGTCTCCATGTTTGGATAAACGTTGGCCTGATCAGTGCTTCAAACTTGTGTAGTATTTTTTACTCCCCTATTGACAGTTCAAGCGCATACTTTAAATCAAAATTCTGCGCTATTCGGAAAGATTTCCAGAAAACTGGCAATACTGATCAAATCCTACGCGTCTCACCTAACAACAAGTGAAAAAGTAAAACAAAGTGTCGTACTCCCTGCTCCAAACCAACATGTTGGCACGTGTGATAGCCAGTATCAATCCATGGACAGAGGTCGCAACGACACCGAACGAAATGAGGAAGCCGTTGAAGCAATGAATGGCGTTTCCTGAACCTGGTGGATCACAACTCTAAAAACTTCTTCAAAGTTTTGGTTTTGGGCAGATCTCCATGCCATTTTTAGCAGCAGTCTTCCATGCAGTTTCCTCATACCGAATTGCTGAGCGGCACGCATCCTATGCTTTTAGCCCAATAGTTAACCCCATTGAGCGCCGTTACCGATCACAAAAGCAAAGTGCGTTTGGTGCCGACAAGGCTGACCTGTTATTCGTATAGCGGGGAGAAGAGACGTGGCAGATCACGTTCGTTCAACATCTGCTCATCGATGGCAACAAGTCGCTGGGTTTATAAATGAGCAGAAGCGCCCGCCGACCGGCTGAGCCAGTCGCGCAATCAGAGCTTTTGTAAGATTTTGTCAGCATCTCTTGCTTGGATGGACTTCTGCGCTCGACGTCCATGCTAAGCAGCGCTTGTTGCGTGAGCCCCGACCCCACCATCCGATCGTGAAATTCCAGGTCAACGACAGACTTTTGAGAGTAAAGTTAGGGTGTCAAAATGCTCGGTGAAGTCCGTCCTACCTCTACTTCACCTAACCTTCAGTGCGGCAGCTGCCATCGGGCGCAAGGCGTCTTCGCCAGGCGCGGAGGGCCAGCGCTTAAACCATTTCGAGCCTATGCACCCGAACCTCACCACGGGCGAGGGAAGCAGAGGGCGGATGCTCTAACCGAGTTATCGAAGTGGGCAAATAATTCCAGTGGCATGATTTTTTTTTGGCTTTTTGGTTGTCTCCAACCAGCATAAAAGCGCACGCAGTACGCACGCATGAATCAGTATGACACCCGGGCGGTTGCATCTCTAGCAGGCCTGTCACACTTCTGGGAATATCCGCGGAGATAAAACCGATTATTTTAGCCACATGGATATATCCCTACACTCGAAGCGTACGGTCATTGCGACCGAGTGAGAATCTACACACGCTCGGTAAGATGGAGCCGAGGCCGGTCACGAGCCACAAAAGCGGCCCACCTCGCATGGAACAGGCGCGGTGCAGAGCGCAGCTGCTGACCACACAGCTGCCCCGTCATCGGACGGCACACACAGACTGCCGCCGTCTCCCATGCCATCGGGATACCGCTCCCGTCTAATCGCGGAAACAACAGGATGGATGAGTTGTCTGAACTCATTCGCGGCCCCGAGTCATTGCAAAGGCGACAGTCGGCTGCATGCCCCACAGACGGGCCCGCCGCCTACCCAATCCCGGTCCCAGCTTCACGCTGAGCCGGCACCCCGGGGCACCCACCTCGAACGCCTGCGTGAAGAACTTGCAGATGTCGGGCATGGAGATGAAGCCGCGCCACACGGAGCGTGGCTTGGCGCGCGCCGGCGCCGCCTCCGGCTCCTCAGCCTGCCAGTCGGGCGGCGTCCTGCGGCGGCGGGCGGCCGTGTCACAGTCGCGCCACGGAGCGGCCACGCGTCACAGTTGCTGGCCGCTGGCCACGGCCAGGGCACCGTTCGACCATGGCCAGCGCACGATCACAAGCAGGCCAGGGCCGGGTCCGGTGCTCGCGTCGGGGAGTGCAAGGATCACGGCCAGGCGCGCGCCACAGGGGGTCGCGCAGGTCAGCATCGGTGCGCAGCTCCACTCTTAGGCTGGCCATAGACGACACGGGTTCGAAATAACATCGCCCGTCACACACCACACAGGCTTTCGAAGCCGGGGCTACAAGAGCGACCATTTTTAAGCGTTAACAGTTGGACATTTTACACGGGCCAAGCACTTAACACAAAATATGAAGAATTTACTTCCAGTCTAGCATTGTGTCCGTTCTTTCACACAATGCGTGAAAAACAGCCCATATGATGACATGCTGGAGCAAAAATGTCATACCCATGCACCATCAAACTCTCACTGACCAGAAGTTCGCCCCTGCCCGCCTCCCGTCCCACATCCGGCCTCACCCGATGGTGACAGTGGAGGAGGGCTCCTTATCCCGGTCGGACATGGCTCCCTCGTCCTCGGGCGCCGGCTCGCCGTCCGCCGTCTGCTCCTCCGGCTCGCTGCGGGCCGCCGGCTCCGACTCCGGCTCGCTCCGGGCCGCCGGCTCCTGCCGTGGCTCCGGCTCGCCGCTGCGGCGCCGCTTGCGCCGCTCGTGGTCGCGCGCATCGCGGCTCGAGTGGCGCTTGCGGTGGCGCTCCTTGTCCCGGTCAGACCGCTTCTCCTCGCCACGAGGCTTCTCGGCGTTTCGCTCCGTCTTCCCCTCCTCGTCACGGATCTTCCCTCTGTCTCTGTCCTTTCCCCGGGCGGCGTCCTCCTTGTTGTCGCCGCCCTTCCCAGCATCGTGCCTCCTTTCCCTGTCCTTCTCTTTGTCCCTGGTCTTCTCTTTGTCCCTGTCCTTCTCTTTGTCCCTGTCCTTCTCTTTGTCCCTGTCTTTCTCCTTCTTCCTCTCCTTGTCCTTTTCCCTGTCGTTCTCCGTCTCCTTGTCCTTGTCCCTCTTCCTCCCCCGGTCGCCATCCTTCTCCTTGCCGCGGCCCTTGTCGTCGTCTCGGCGCCGGTGTCGGCTGCGCTCCCTGTGTTTGTCACGGCTGCCGCCGGTGCTAGCGCTGCTGTGGTGGCGCCGGTGCCGGCTGGAGGAGTGGCCTCGCTCGCCGCTGCCGCTCCGGCGTCGGCGCGGCTTGGACGACGTGGACGTGGACTTCTTCCCATCCGAGGACTTGGCGTCGGACTTTGTCTGCGGGGAAGCCGCGCTGGTGTGAGCCCGACATGGTGCACGACAGAACACGGCGTAGCGGGCGTCTGATTGTCAATATTTGCAGCCCGTCCCAGAGCATCACTGAAAACGCCATATGAAAACCGAAAAGCTGTCACTGTTTCATTGATCAACACCTAATGACGGCAATTCAGGGGGCAGCGTGACATAAAACAATTCATACTTCCATCACCACGTCCCTCCGAAATCCGCACGTCCAGCCTCCCGCCACGCGGGGTTGCAGGGCCGGTCATCTCCAGTTGCCGACGGGCAGCCTGCGTTCGTAATAGGTCACCTACCAGGTCAGAGCCGGGTCGCTGACCAGGCCAGCGCTGGCTCACTCACCTCGTCGCGTTTGGGCCAGTCACCAGGCCAAGTCCGGGCCAATTACCAGGTCATGTCCGGGTCGCTGACCAGATCAGAGCCAGGTGATTCACTGGGTGACGCCGGGGGTCACAGCCGGCTCCCGCCCGAGTCACTCACCGGCTCGGGCCGCGGCGCCGGCTGCTCGCCTGTACAGATCAGACAGCCGATGTCGTACACGTGCTGGCCGTGCCGCTCGGTCGAGTCGGCCAACACGGCGCCCGTGGTCGGCTCGTCGTCGACGGCCGGTGGCAGCAGCTGCTCCGCCGCCGGAGTGTTTTTGTCCTCTGTCAACAGGGCACATCCGGTCAGCCGTTCGCCGCAGTGCGCCGCCGTTCGCCGCCGGGCGCGACTGTTTGCCCAACTTCTCGGCTCAGCCCAGCCGACGCGTGGCGAGCCGACCGAGCCGGACGAAAGTTGGGCGCTTGTTTCCATCAGTGGCCTGTGAGCGGGCGTAGCTGCGGCGTCAATCAGGGTCGACGGAGCGGCCACCCAGGCGCGCTGTACTTGCCGATGAGTTTGAGGCTGTCGTCGTTCTCGATAACCTGCTCCCCCTTGTGCGTCTTCATCACGAACTTGTTGCCGAGCGTCAGCATATCCAGCTCGTGTTTCTCGATGGCCTCCAGTTCCTGGCGGCAGCGGACGGGGCACACCGTCGGCCCGTGAGGTTGACACACACAAAAAAGACGTCAGCGAGCCGTTGCTGCGTTTTACATGCAACTCTATGCATATTATTGTATCAACACATAGATGGAGCAAAATCGCAGACGATCGCAAACGCATTTCAAAAACCGAGATTATCACATCCACGTATCACTACCGTCGGCAGATATTCACAGCACGGGTAGCTACAACGCAACAACGCGTAGACGCCCATGTTTAGGCTTTTAACGATAACCGTTGGCGAATGACTGCAAAACGCATAGCTTAACACGGAACCTAGCGTCTACTGCCGCTGATGCTCAGCTGGGTTTTATCGTCCGACGTCGGTTGGCCCCAGGTAAACAGAACTTGACGAAGTGAGGTGATCCTGACGAACTGTGACGACGCAGTGAATACCGGCTTATGGTTGTAAACACACTCACGTAACAGGGTTTACGGACGTCAAAGATGCCAATGAACCGATAATGCGCATACTCATACCATGAAATATGGTCGATACTTAACGGTGATTTCATGCGACGCCTGGCCCAATAAATCGGACAGCGGACAAATGGCCACACATCAACATCACACGAAAACAACACAAGATCTTCGGTCACCGTGACCTGCACATTTCCATGGACATGTGCATCGCGCTCCTTGACCGTTTGGCAGGTAGGCCTGACCTTCTTCTCCTCCCTCTCCCGCCACTCGGCGAGCTCCTTGCTGGCCAGCTCATCCGCAGACATAGTGACCAGGCGGGCCGGGTCGACCTCCCGTAACAGCACCTGCACACGGACGGCGCGTCAGGACCACACCTGCCACGACCGCACCACATGACCGTCGAGCGCGCCGGGGCCAGCGCAGCTGAGGCCTCGCGTCCACCAGAGGCCGCATCGCCAGCTGTTGCAACAGCTCAGTGCAACACTACGCAGAGAATGCGCAAAACAGAACGCTGCAAACCGCCCTAACTTTGCAGATCCCAACTAATGGCATCAGCAATGTTATGGTGGAGATAACCTGTCCGGGCTCTAGACGCGACAAAGCTCCGAATGTCAGGACAAATCTGACCTACCGAGTAGCAACCTCTACAACGTGCTCGTTAAGCCTCTTCTCGTTTCACGTAACGGATTAGATCCACTGCGATCTTCCCCACAACGTCAGACACAAACACAAAATCTAATGAGATCCACACAGTTCGGCGAAACAGGAGCGGAACAGGAGCCTACAGACGGCTAAGGCAAACACAGCATGACGCACCTTCCTGAAGAGTCCTAGATTCTTCAAGTCCTTGAGGTTAAATATAAGACTCCTGTACTTTGCTTTGTACTTAAAGTTAACATCTTTATGCAGCATAAATAGTTCATCCTCGATTTCGTTGACAAGCTTCTTTATTTCGGTCATTTCCCTCGCGACATTCTTGTCATCCTTGCACCTGTCGAGATAAGTTATTGGTCAGCATGCGGAGCTACACAATCCGTAATATTTAGAGAACACAGCATCAGCGACACAATACCAAGTCTCTACACTCGTCCTAGGAAATGCGAAAAGTAAACTACAGATCCACTCACGTCAATCATTGCCTGGAAACACCGCCATTCGGCTCGTCTGAATCATTAGGAAACGTCGTTGACACTCGAGATTGTTGGAATAGCAGTTTGTAACTAGCAAATAAAACCCTTGACCCAAACCATCCCATATGAAACAAACACCTCTCGAAAACAAAAATATCGCGGGGTTTCCATCCCGACACCAGCCGTCCCGCCCGGGGAAGTCGGCCGGCCCGACACTCGACACCAGCCGTCCCGCCCGGAGGAGTCGGCCGGCCCGACACTCAACACCAGCCGTCCCGCCCGGAGGAGCCGGCCGGCCCGACACTCAACACCAGCCGTCCCGCCCGGAGGAGTCGGCCGGCCCGACACTCGACACCAGCCGTCCCGTCCGGAGGAGTCGGCCGGCCCGACACTCGACACCAGCCGTCCCGTCCGGAGGAGTCGGCCGGTCCGACACTCGACACCAGCCGTCCCGCCCGGGGGACCCGGCCGGCCCGACACTCGACACCAGCCGTCCCGCCCGGGGGACCCGGCCGGCCCGACACTCAACACCAGCCGTCCCACCCGGAGGAGTCGGCCGGCCCGACACTCGACACCAGCCGTCCCGTCCGGAGGAGTCGGCCGGACGCACCTGCTGTACAGCACGTCGCAAAGCGTCTTCTTCACGTTGGAGCGCAGCTTGTCAATGTCGACGATGCGCTTCTCCTTCGGCTCGCGCTCCTCCTGCTTGTGCTTCCGCCGCCGCACCGTCGGCGGCCGGCCGTCCGGCTCGTCGGTCTTCCCGCGCGGCGCACCGTCCGCCGACGGCTTCCGGTGCGCCGGCGAGTCCGCCGACAGCTTCCGGTGCGCCGGCGAGTCCGCCGACAGCTTCCGGTGCGCCGGCGAGTCCGCCGAGTGCTTCCGGTGGGAGGGCGAACCCGCGTGCTTGCCGTGCGCCGGCGAGTCCGAGAGCTTGCGGTGCCCGTCTCCGGACGGGTGCCGGTGGGGAGGTGAGCCGAGCGACGCCTTGAGGCGCGCCGCCGGCTCGGTCGCGCCCCTCGGTCCAGCTGCGGCGGCCGCGGCGCGCTCACCCGCGCCGAGCGTCGCACGCGCCGTCTGCGCCGCCGAGCCGGCCGACGGTCGGATGACGTGGATGTGGCCGGGCGGCGCCTTCTGCTCCGGCTTCTTCCTGCCGATGCGCGGCCAAAGGCTGGCGTCACAGACAGGCACCGGCGCCTGGGGAGGGGCTGGCGCAGGAACAACGGCACAAAAGCGGGGTCTCACAGGCCCACGCGCCGACAGACCGCCTAGCGGAGCGAGAGCGGGTTGACGCCAACCCCACCGAGATGACAGCGATAAGACGCAAATGGTTCAGAACTACAGCGCTGACGAGCCGGGAGTGGCTGCACTCACCCGTAGAACTTGGCCGCTGGAAGCATGCCCGGTTTCAGGACTTCAAAAGTCGGATGGGTCTTGAGCCACAGTTTCAGGTTCGCCACTGTTGGTGCGTTGGGACCTGCAGGGGCCGCCACGTTTAGCTGATATGTAATGCCAGAAGACGACGTAAGAAACACCGACTGGGTGGATACCTCCCTCTCATTGCTTCAGTATGTCGAAGCGGTATCAAAATCACGCATCACTGGAGCCGCCGAGGCTGGAGCTGCATTACCAGATCAATCAGCCAGATCACACATCTGGGCCAAATTAAACAATGCTGGACTAAAAAAGCAATGATCGCCTCCTCTGTCCGCGCGGTCCTGTCCTTCCTCTGTCCGCGCGGTCCTGCCCCTTCTCTGTCCACGGCGTCTCGTCCCTCCTCTCAGCGCGCGGTCCCGTCCCTTATCTGTCCGCGTGGTCCTGTCCTTCCTCTGTCCGCGCGGTCCTGTCCCTTCTCAGTCCACGGCGTCTTGTCTCTCCTCTCAGCGCGCAGTCCCGTCCCTTCTCTGTCCGCTCGGTCCTGTCCTTCCTCTTCTGTCCGCGCGGTCCCGTCCCTCCTCCTAACCCTCCCACTCTGTCCGCGTGTCGCCGCGTCCGGACCCCTCACCCGTCAGCAGACGGCCGGAAGTGCGCTCAAACACGATGACGCGCGCCTCTGGGGAGGGCTTGGCGGCCGGCCGGGCGGCGACGGCGACGGCGGCGGCCGGGGCGGCGGGCGGGCTGGCGACCGGGACGGCAGCGGGCTCCGGGGCCGGCGCCGGCGGTGGCATCGTCTTCTTGGAGCTGCCGGCGTCCAGCTGGCTCTGAAAGTCCTGCCGAGAACAGCGGCACGTCAGGGCGGCCCGACCGCGACGAGCAGGCACGGCAGGCAGACCGCTGTGTAGCCTGGGTGGAGTCGATCAGGGCTCGCGCCAAGCCATCGTCGTTTCAACACAAAACATGTCCTGTTCCGCGGATGTCAGACCAATGCTACCGAATTTCCTGAGTCCTAGCACCGAACGCCAGACAGCAAAGTACGCCGACATAGCTTCACATCGCACTCCCACCTTGGGCAGCTTGACCACCTTCACTGGCTTAGGCTGCGGCGGCGGAGGCGGCGGCGGCGGGGGCTTCTGCCTCTGCTGCGTCTTCAGGTGAGCCAGCGAGTCCTGCGCGTGCCGCTGGATGCACTGCTCGCTGCAGTAGACAGAGCCGGGACGCGGGGGGCGGACGCAGCCAGACGCGATGCAGCGGACCGGCGGCGGCGGCGGCCGGGCCGGCTTGGCCGGCGCCGCCGCCGCCGCCTGGCGCGCGAGCACCGCCGCCTCGCGCTCGGCCGCCTCGCGCTGGCGCTGCTTGCGCTTACACGGCGGGCATACCCAGTCCTTGCCACGCTCCTCCATCTGGGCGCCTGCGAGCGGGGCCGGCAGCTGTTACACTGACGTAGTCTACATGAGTGCGGTAGGCCAGCATCCCAACAACGCGCTGCTGGAGGCTCGATACGTGTGTGCGTGCGCATGTGTCCACCAACCGGACGACTCAGCGGTGACTGCCAAGGGCGCCAACATAAGCGAGCTTACGGCAGAATGTGCGTCGACTAAACGACGGCGTCTGTTAACGTCACGCTCACGACAAATTGTCGGTATGAGAGTGCCAACACAAGACGCGCCCGAGTGGCGCGACTGCCGCCTGAGGACCGAGGGCAGATGGCGAGGCAGAGCAGAGCGTCAGAGCCGTGCGCGGGGCCGCCTCGCCGACCGAGGCGTCTGCGCGGGACCGGAGGTCGCAGCGGACGGACGACTCACCCATGGCCCGCGTGACGCCGACGCAGTTGCCGTGGAACCAGTCCTCGCACTTGTCGCAGCAGATCATGAACCTGTAACGGGCGCGGTCCGGGCGCGTCAGGGGCTGACAAGGCGGCGCCGACTGACTTCCACCGGCGGCGCCGACTGATCACCAGCGGGGCCGACTGATCACTAGCGGAGCCGACTGACCTCCACCAGTGGCGCCGACTGATCACCAGCGGCGCCAACTGATCTCGCATGGAAATACTCCAAAGTATCCAGGATAATTGCACACAAGGATGACTGCACCCTCGAAGCGACAGAGAACGCCGAGAACTAACTTGTATCCTGGACGGCTGACACAGAAATAAGATACACTGCTGACAGGCGACGTATGACTGCGGAACTCTAGGACCTACTCAAATGAACAGCACAGGAAATGCTACGACTGAGGCACCTAGATATTTCGGTCAGGAGGGAGGGGAGGGATCGGGCCTCCGTGGCCCACTGATAGGCAGTGGAGACTCGCTTCCACAATCCAGTCATTCCCTCTTCGTCCACTAAAAACGCGTATGATACACTGGAGCGGACGCCAGGATAGCTTGTCACTAACGAGTAGGACAGTTGAAACATCGAACACGTGGAAGCCCGCCACTCTGCGAGTACAACTGCCTAGAGGCGCGCATCCACCACAAGCAGCCGCCTTTCCGATACAGCGACGGAGAGAGTACCTGACTTCAGTTACAATCAACACAACTATGCTTCTGTGAAGAGCGAACAGCGTGTTCTTTAAAAGATCACGTCCGGATTTGATAGCTGTGTGACGGCTCCACGCGGTATGTTGCTGTTGACTGTTCGCTTGTAGCTATGGGTTTGTGTAGCGCTGTCTTCCGTTGTACCTGTTATTGTGTGGCTGGCGACAAATGCACCAGAGCTTGTCAGGGTCATCCTCTGACTGCCAGCCGTCGCTGTCCTCTTCCTCATCGTCCTCATCCTCCTGCTCGTCCTCATCCTCCTGCTCCTCCTCAGCCGCCTCCTCCTCCTCCTGCTTCCATTTGCCCTGCAGGCGGTCCGGGGCCGGCTGCCGAGCCTGTACCGCCGGCGGCGCTCCGTCCACGCCCTGACAAAGCATCGCACTATGACCTACACGCTGGCCAGCTGGCCCAAACGCACACCCCACAAACGGTGACACCCCGGCCCGGATCCTGGCGGGCAGCCCACTTTGGTTTGTGCCCTCACAAACTGCGAAAGTGATCCATACAGTGAAAACTGCGGCGAGTTGTCGCACACCCTAGCAGGCGAGGTGCTGTTCCACTTCGGTTCGCACCTGATCAGAAACGCAATCAGCTGAACAGCAGAACGACAAGCAGCCAACAAGCCTACATCCTGACAACCAAGCACGCAGGTCCTCAGCCAGGCAACAGGAGCCGCCCTGGTCCACGCTGCAAGCAGTGACACTCTGGACAACAAAAGCCGTGGCGAGATGAGAACGCTGCACGAAGCGGGCAGGCCGGCTGGCGCCGTGAGCGCGGTGCCCACCTTGACCATGACCTTGACGCCGCCTTTGCGTTTGACGGGGCTGCCGGCGGCCGGCTGCTGCGCCTCCTGGCGGTCCTGCAGCTTGAGCGGCACCTTGCGGTCGCGGCGCGGCCGACCCGGAGTGCCGCCAGAGTCCGGGTCTGCGACACAGGGTACCGGTCAGAGAAGGCGGCTGATTGTGCGCCGCCCACGGCCGGCGGCGTCGGGCACGTGCGTCCCACGCGGCCCGAGCGGCGCCTACCGCGACGGTGCGTCAGCCCGGCGAGCGGCGGTGCGACACCACAGCGGCCACGCCGCGCGCTGCGTCGGAGCGACCAGGGCTGACAAACTAGGATGGCGGCGAGGATCCGGCGCATATGCTACATATTCCCACGGTTCACACGTTGCATTCACGCTCACGCGTTTGCAAGCGAACATGAACGCAACATCGTCGTGCCAACACCACAAGCGTGTCTGCCGGACTTGGCCAATCGTTGCAGCGAGTCACTTCATTGAAGAGAAGGGATAGGTACGAAGATAGGTCTCTATGGTCCGCATGAGCCGCCGCCGGGCCTACAACGGACAACCCCCGATCGCACCAATGAAGTCACCCACGCACCCCTGATCCACAGTCCAAACCAAGTGTCAGTTCTGCAAGCTCAACGCGCATGGGCTGTTCGCACGCCCTGTCTGCACCCAGTGCCCGTCCAGTGCACGCGTTGGAAGCCTGTCCTATTCACCCGCACGCCGCCTGGGTAACGATTCAGCCTGCCCCACTGACCTGCGCTGGCCAGCGGCGCCGAGTGCTGCTGCCCGACCAGCGACGCAAGCGTCTCGTCATCGCTATCGTCGGCCGCCGGCGCGTGCACGAAGCTCCGCATCGAGTTCGCCGCACCGCGCGTCGGCCTGCCGCGCGGCACGCCATCTTCCGGCACTGAGCGCAGACTCCCGCTCGGCTGCGTGCCGCCACGGGCGCCACGCCCGCGGCCGCGACCTCGCCCTCGCCCTCGACCGCGGCCTCGGCCCCGACCTGAAAACACAGCGGTCAGCGGTGGCAGTCCAGCAGGATCTCAAGGCTCGGAATTGTAAGCTGCCCTGTATAGAGCATATGCTTGGAAGATTCAGCGCCAAGGTCCATGAATACGATTGTAAAGACGTGTGTGCATATACCCACACCCACTACAACTCACACCTACCCCACTTTACCATATAGAATATGGACGCCCACCTCTGACGGGCGGCGCGGCCGGGCTGGCCGGCTCCCGGTCGGCAGCGGTGGCCGTCGGCGGCGTCAGCTGCGCCTGCCGCTCGCGGTTCAGGTTCTCCGAGCGGATCTGCTCCGCCTGTTCGCGCAGCGTCTGGTCGGCGCGCCGCTGGGAGCGACGCGTGCCCTGCGAGGGGCGGTCCGGTCAGCGGCAGCAGCGCCCGCCCGTCCCGCCGGGCTACTCGGCAACCGGCGACGACCGCCAGCGCTCGGCAGACGCGGTACGCTTGTGTGTACAAAAACAGGGGCGGTAGCCTACAAACCGTTCACAAGCGACGTGACGCGCCAGCCCACGCGTAGACTCGGAGCGCGGGCCGCGAGTGCCGCAGGCGCAGCGACTACCAACGACTTCACCAATCACGGACCCGTATCGTCACCATCAAAACCATCCCACCGCCACAGGCACCACCAATCACGAGTGGCAGGGGACGGGCTGGCGGGCCGACACCAGTCCGCGCGCCGGTCTGTCGCCAGCTCGGCCGACCGGCGCCAGCCGCCGAGCAGCTCCCGCCCGTGCGTGCGAAAGGACGGGGTCGGCCGCGCGAGGGCCGGGTCGGCTTACTCACCGGGGCTCGTCTCTTCGGCCGACCCCTGCCGCGCGAGCCGCGGATCCGGTCGCCGCCTGAAAGCGCGGGTGTGTGGTCACCGGCGGGTCAGCCGACACACTGGCGCCGAGTGGCGGCTCACGCGCCGTTTGCAGCGGCCATTACAGGAATAAACTTGTGTGTGACTGTTTATATCACATTTTTGCTAAATCTATCGGGATTTTAAGCAACTTTTGACCAAGGGCGGATCCAACGGTGTGGGTACGTGCCATAACTCTTCTCAGATGATGAAATAAAATGTGCACTAATCTTGCTTGATTTCTGTGCAGATCCAACCGAATTTGGGGTTTGTCCAGCCTGCAACAGAACGGAATTTGGCCCTCCCAAAACCCGGCGCTGAATACACACCCGATTTCCATCTAAGCACGGGACTGAGCGACAAAAATGAACGCACAGCGCACACCCGAAAAGCACGTGTCACGTCGAGAAAATCTGATAAGCCGGCAGCCTTCGACACAACCGCCAGCGGCCATTACTAACAAGGCGTGGTGTCGACACAATCAGCGAAACCACAAACGCAGGGAGCGTCGCCGCCCGGGGCGACCTAAGGTCAGCGGCCGGCGCGGCTGACCGGGCGCGTCTGCGGCCGCGGGCGCCGGCGGCCGCTCACTGTGGTCGGGCGCGTGGTGGCGCTCCACGCCGATCAGCTCGTCCTCGAACTCGCCGCCCGTGATGTTGACGCCCATGCCGGGGAACGACTGCAGACCGTCGCCGAAAATCTCCCGCGCCTCGTCCGAGCTGAGAGCTGATTCCAGCCGGTCCAGCGCCTCCGAGTCCAGGACTGCGGGCACGGGCCACACACACACGTCAGCTGGCGGCAAGCGGGTCGTGGCGGTCCAACGTCTCCAAGTCCAGGACTGCAGGCACAGACCACAGACGTCAGCTGGCGGCAAACGGGTCATGGCGGTCCAGCGCCTCCCAGTCCAGGACTGAAGGTACGGCCACACAAGGACGTAAGCTGTTGGGAGGAGGTGGGCGTCGCTTGCTGGTGGGGGGAACGCAATTACATCGACACGTTCACAAGGCATGGTGAGCCGTCCCTCCTGTACTAATTGTAGCTGGTACTTAGAGGTGGTAAAATATAGCAAAAATACACATAGGTGTGATTTCATCAACCTAGGGTACGTGTGTCAAAGCAAGTGCGCACACCGCCGTGATCCCAGCGCACGCGACAACAGCCCCTGGGAGCCGGCAAAGCGTGGCTCACAGCCCAGCCTGCCCCTCGCGAGATGAAAGCGGGGCGGACCGGCACCGCGAGCGGGTGGCCGCCCGCGAGGGAGCGCCCCGGCTCGGCCCACTGACTGAGGTCGGCGTCCGGCGTTGGCAGCGGATCGGCCGTGGCCGCCTCCGGCAGCGGCGCCGCCGGCTGCAGCGAGTCCTGGTTGATGCTGACGATGTTGACCGCGCCCGGGTTGCTGGCTGCGGGCGGGACGGGGCGGGGCGGGGCGGCGTTAACGCCGGTGGACACGCAGAAGCCGACACAACACCGGCCAAACCGAGACCGCGGGTTGACACGGCGAGCAACCCCATCCCCTAAAACACCACAGTGGTCCTATACGGAAAATGTCATGCTTACCACGGAGATCGTGCTCTGTAAGTATCATGGGCACGAACGTCGAGCCATCCTATGTTCAAAAAGGCAGCACTCTAGTCATACGGTGCGAGCGCGCAGACGGCCAGACAGAGGAGACGCTCCGCCCCAGAGGGGCGGCCGGGCCGGCCTACTCACAGATGAGCTGCTGCATGGTGGCGGCATCGATCTCTTGCGTCTGGCCGGTGGCGTCGTCCACGACAATGATGATGGCGTTCTGGGCGGCGGCCGCCGCGCCCTCGTCCTCGCCCACAATGGTCGTGTTGGACATGGCCGGCCGGCCGAGCCTGCGAAGGTCAAACAGCGCGCACATCAGGAGCGCGCCGCTCTGGTGCTACGTCAGGAGAGCGCCGCCCCGACGCCAAGTCAAGAGAGCGTCGCCCTGATGCCACCTCAAGAGAGCGCTGCCCCGGCGTCACGTCAACAGAGCGCTGTCCTGATGCCAAGTCAAGAGAGCGCTGCCCCGGCGCCACGTCAACAGAGCACTGCCCTGACGCTACGTCCGGAGAGCGCTGCCCAGACGCCATAACAGGCAGGGCAGGGCGACAACGCAGCGGGCCTACCACCGGCCAACAGCTGAGGAATCAACCGAGGCTTCTATCATTCCGTCTCGCAACACGTACCAGGCGTGTTGCGCTTGGCACCAGCCGAAGGGAACCGGCGTCGCGTCCCATGTCATGGACGACGCGTATTTGTCCTAAATATGCGTCAGGTCCAAATCGCTCAAGACTCGCTCGACGGGTCCCATCGCTCCCCGTCCGGCGCCAGACAGCCGGGCCACCCAGACTGCAAGCATTTTCACCACCTCCCCATCATGAGGAGTTAGACAGCATCAACACCTATGTGCTGCCAGGCGCGGGGGTGGACACAAAGGCGTCCTAAACAGTACCTTAGCAATAGAACCTTGTGGCAACCCCTCACCCTACTGACCACCTTGTTGTATTGTCATAAGGCTGATGGCTCCACTATGGACGGAGCCCAAATCCTGCCACGTCCCGCGGATGGAATATGCGCTACCGGCATTCGTGTCTGCTGCAATCAAAGCGCGAGGCTACCCGTTGGTGGCCTTCATGGGGCTCACCGATCCAACGGACCCAAAACGTCCCAGATCCCGCCCTGCGCCGGGGTTATGATACTGACGCGCCTACGCACTCAGCGACTGCCTCGCTAATCCATCCCCCTTCCCCCCCCCCATCCTAAGCCATTGCCCGTTGCCATACACAATAGGTGGCAGCAGCTGGCGGGCAAATTCACGGTATGAGGATTGCACCCCCGCTTAAAGTCTGTAAGTCAGGCGTTACTGAACGCATTTAACAGACTAATGCTCAACACAGCAGGATGCTAGCGGCGGTCATTGCCAATGTTCGCTAAAACTGGGAATGCACCTAACTCGGCTTACCTTGGTGTGCAAAGCCCGGTTAGGACTACACCCAGCCTTACGCATAATTTGTATGATGCCTTATCACAAAGTGTGCTCGCGGTCGAGACAATTCTGAACGTGTTATATTTACGCCCAAATGCCAGGCGACTCGTTGAGACCAATTTTGTTTAACGTGGTTGTTGTGCTCAATGGCAAGCTGCCGATGGCGAATCAATCCATTCCGAAAGTAGCCACATTTCACGGTCGCCAGTGGTGTTCGATTTATGCGGGACATCGGATCGCTCATACTAAGGAAGCAAACTCAACATGCATACCGTTATTCGAACAGGAGCCTTCGCACTCGTTCCCCGGCAAAATATGCGCCACCAGTGCAAGAAGAATGGCTTCAGGGCTTCAGGGGAGCGACACGTCTCTTCCACACACACTCATGGCTAAGCGACATCAGAAAGATAACTTGTCTTCAAAAGTAAACCGCGATCAACAAACACGATCAAAACAGAAACAAGTTTTCTACAAGTACCTCACGTAAACAGGGCGCATCGAAGGTACCAACGATCTTGGTCGCCAACAAGAACAACGTGGTGACAAGAACAACGTGTCGCGGTGACGTAGGTTACAGCAATAGGCAAGGCATAACGATTGTCACAAGACGGACAATGCACTTGTATTGCAGATACATCAAACGGCCGAGATCTCCTCAATAAAAAGGGAGTATTCACCAATGGCTTCCAGGAGCACTTGGCACCGACCCAAAGTAAATCGCTAGTCGGCCTTCACGTCAGCTGAACAAAAGCGAACGCGTTGTCGTCGGGGGTGCCCGGGATCGCCGTCCGGGACGCGGCTCCAGATCTCCCTCAAATCCGCTCCACACAGCGGCATCCGGCTCAGCCAACGGCGCCGGAGATAAGGGCAAACCTGGCTCCAGCTGGCATCGGCGGTAAGTCCAGGCAGGGTCCGCAGCCTGGTGCGCCTGATCTGCGAGATCTTCTCTCCTCACTAGCATGCCATTGAGCTTAAACAGCCCACAGTTTCCGCCTCCCCCCCCCCCCCCCCCCCGGAGTAAACCACCCTGTCGTACGTCGATTGGAAAAATCGAACCTAAATCATTGCCACATTCAACAAGTACACCTATAACATCAACACTCGGTAAACGGTCCCACCGCCGCCACATACATGTGGACTCCGCGTGCGTTACATCCAACCGACCTTCTGCTGGCGCCATCTCGGGACGCCTCCCAGCCGGAAGTTTGCCCCAAGCCCGCACCACTGACGCCAGCGGCCGACTGGCGCCCGGCTGGCGGACCCAGCCGCCGCCGTGCCCGCGCCTGGCCAGCAGCCCGCCGCCGGCTCGTCGGCGCCTCTCGCCCCGTCCAGTGCCGACTCCGGAGCGCGTCTCCCGGGCGGGACAAGTACACGGCAGCGGGCCACACGGCCCGCCGCTGGGGCACGCGGAACAGCAGGCACGTCCCGAAGTGGGACAAGGCATCGCGCATCGCGCCAGCCACACCGCCCCCTGTCATGAAGGACGAGTCATAGCGATGGCACTTCACCGCTGACTCTCCATGCGCTGCGCAGAACATCATCCGCCGCACCTCCAGCAGCGTTACACAAGCAGAACTGCGGCCATCAGGACCAGGTCAGCAGATTGGCAGAGGACAGCCCACAGGCCCGTGAACAAATCACGCATCGCCGCGTTCCACTGGTAAGGTCTACGTTGACGAGACCAGAGGCCTTTCAGCCTCCCCCCCCCCCCCCCCCCCCCACGCCCACACGCTCGGATTGTCCCGACAGGCTCCATCGACCACGCTGGGCGTTTGCATTTGTCGCATGCCGGCTCAGCCCAGCCAAACAGCGTCTCGGTTACCACTCACAGCCGAGCTGCGAGCCTCGTGCGGCGATCACGGCACGGGGCGCCAGTCTCAGATCGGTCCAGGCACACGGCCCCGAAGACGTCACAACAACCGCCCAGGTCTGACCCAGCCAGCGGCGACAGATGATCCCCGAACACCATGCCACCGCACAGCTCGTGCCGTGCCACGGTACGGTCTGGGTCGGCGATTCCAGACCATCCACTCTTACTCAAACTCCATTCAAGTTCCAAACCAGCACTGGTCAGTCGTGGGATGGTGCACTGGGGACGCAGACTTGTCGTGTATACGCTTCATTTTACATCAAGGTTGAAGCAATCGCGCATGTCACACAATGTCATGTGCACCAAGACACAGCATCATATGCCGTCGTCTCATCTGTGTTCAGATATCCCTAAAACAACAAAAAGCAGAGAAGGAATGTTTACAAATCACTAAGACGTTGTCGCACTAGAGAAGCAATATGTCCGGCGCATGGCACAAACATTCCCGCTCCTCAAGATTTCCCTACCGTCCTATCGATGGCGTACCGTGATAATTGTACCAACGCTGATGAAATAGGGCGTGGGCCAACGGCGTTATCTTCAATGATGCCAAGCATACTGCCAACTTTAGGCAGGTACCCAGGCATCCACCCTGGCCGGTGTCCGTCCCGATATGGGTACTTTTTCTAAGGAAAATGCTGCATTGAGACACAATGGAACTATTATGCACTCCCGTTACTTTAGGCAAAAGCCATAAAAAGATAAGAAAAATTCACAATCGACATTTGTTAAAACTGATCTCGAAGAATTTCCCCGACATATTCGGAGGAATTTCAACGCATAACTGTCTTCTTTGTGCCTGCCCGGACTGTCGATTGATGCGTATTTTACCCAATGTGATGATGGTCAGTGCTGCCAGGCCGAATCGGACTGGTCGTCAGCCGCATCATACACACATTTGGCCAGCGCAGCAGGGCCGCTCCACCTCAGCGCAGGAGCTCGGTGGCAACGGACACGGCTCCCGAGTTAGTGACTGCATCGAATGGTCGGATGCTGGACAACACATTATAGCTGATGCTGGTTACCTAGCTGCCAAGTCCATCCCTAGGGCACATGCTGAGCAGCTTGCTGCTTGCACACTGAACCTGTCACTCTGACACTGTCAATCCAGCTTGATACAGTCTGTTGTGCCTTTTTATTTGAATGGATTTCTATGAACCCTTTTGGCATTGTTGTCATGTCACCAAAAACTGTAATCATGCTGTTCAGTGTTGACTCCTCCAAAAGCCATCAGTTGCCTAATATGGAGTGGATTGTGCACATGCTACATAATGATGCTGGTGCTGAACAGCCATTCAGCCATTGTAGAATGTCACTTAGTGTCCTCACCAACATGCTCACTCATATTCTTTGAAAAATAGTTTCATGCATCACAGGATTGCATAATCAGCCACTGCTGTATTGAACTTGTGGCAGTGTGGAAACAATGCTGGTGAAAGATGTCCCCAAAAAAGAACACAAATGCTGGACATTTATTGAATTGTGGTACTGCCCTGAAGCCATTCCAACTTTGACAAAATTTGTATAAAAAGGGTCACATGAAGACAAATGACTGCTGATAGGCACCATCTGTTTGTTTTTTTTTTCTTTTTTCTAATGGCCATCCATTACTGGGTGACCAGGAGTGTTCCTCCCACTTTTCCAGCAACACACTAAACCTTATTTTAACACTCAACACTATGAATGTCATTTGGGCACTCCCTGCCTCCTAAGAGCTGGATGGCAAAACAAAAATAACAAGATTAGGTTGCAAATCCCACCAGCAAGTTACGTTAGCAATTAGCAGAAATAAGCGAGGGAGCTAAAATGGTGGTTGTAGCCAAAGGCAGCAAACAATAAGATACTAATGCCCATCCAAGAAAGGAGCTAACTGACACTATATTAGTATTATAATATTCACACAGGATGGGGAGGGCAAAGGTCTGGTCCAAGTGAAACAGGTCCAAGGCTCCAGTTTCAGCTGCCAACAAGCCTAAGCAAGCTTGTTGCAGGTGGGCAATGGAAGGATAGAGCCCCATATGGTGTGAAAACATACACACAGCCAGAGTAGAGTAACATAAATGTTGTCTGATGAGCTTCATGCAATGCCAAAAAATGACTAATAACGATGACAAATCAGTGATTTGTAGCGTTGCTGGTGCAAATAAATATTTGGTTACCTTGGATAGAACTTCACATATTGCAAATTGCCCCAAGACCCATAGCTTTTAAAGCTTCTGTGGTGGTCATATCTCAATTCATTCATCTGTGCTTGTTGTACTAACAAGCATGCTTGGCCTAACAGCAGAGAATATCATAAGGCATGTGTTTTAATTTTTTGCAGTGGCTTGCATGTGAGTGGTAAATTCATCACTGATCTGCTACCTTGAAGAGTTACAATGTGTTATCAAGTCTGCAGATCAATGGAAGGTTATATCTGTGATTTGTATATATTGAGAAGTTGCAAGACACCCTTTAGAAGTTGTAAGGCATGTATGAAAGCTCACTAGGCAATCTTAGAAATTCAGACCCACAGACCAGCACATCATTAAGACCTCATAACAGGTTACAAACCTGGCATCATGGCTATCCTTCAGGTGGAAGAGCCAAAGTCATACACAGCAGACTCATGCCAAAATGCTGATAGCTAAGTAGGTTTGTGTACATGACTGACATCACTGACTGAATGTGCATAACTGGGTGGCAAGGGCTAGAGCTCATGCATGTCCATTTAAAAGATTTGGACCAGCTGTTGTCTTTGAATCATACCAATAGTCTAAGAAACAATACCACCACTAGA